CTTTTAGTGTACGGGGTGACACTCCGACCAACTGAGCCACCTGACCAGGGCCCGAGAGGGGGTTTTTCAGCTTAGCAAATGGGGTGGATGTGAGGTCTAACAGCGAATGGGACAGAAGTTTCCGCTCTCCCTCTCCAGAACTATCGAGTTCGGGGTACTTGGACAGGGACTGGGCCATTGAAGGGGCAGTGAAACAGTTCCTTGTCCACCTTACGCATCGTCACTTAGAGGTGGTCCAAGACAGGAACACTAGACAAAGGTCTGTAAGCTGTTGAAAGAACTGGACGAAAGTCACTCCTTCACCCCAGTTCATGCCCTTCAGCTACCATGTGATTGCTTTTTGCTGACCAGCTGCTTGGTCAGGTCCTCTCCCCACAATTTTGCCTCCCAATGCCTCAATCCAAGTTGCTACATCCTTGTGTTTCCAGTCTGTTCAGAGGTACCAAGGTAGCCAAGGACCTTTGTTAGGGAAGTAACTGCCCTTTTCCTGCTCATTTTATTTCATTAGCTCTTTTTTTTCTTTCTTTCTTTTTTTTTTTAATATATCTTTATTGATTTCAGAGAGAGGAAGGGAGAGGGAGAGGGAGAGATAGAAACATCAATGATGAGAGAGTCATTGATCGGCTGCCTCCTGCACGCCCCCGGCTGGAGATCGAGCCCGCAACCCGGGCATGTGCCCTGACCGGGAATCGAACCCTGATCGCCTGGATTTTAGGTCGATGCTCAACCTCTGAGCCACGCCCGGCCGGGCGATCTTTTCTTTCTTTAGATAGTTTTCTTCCTGTCTTCTCTCCAATCTTCCTATACCACATTGGACCTGATGAGTATACTATACTAGGAACTACATCTCCTCTAATGGCTGTACATGAAAGTCATAGTGCTTGAAAAACTAAAAGGAACGTGAGAAGAGCATGGGAAAGGCAGACCCCAAACATCTGCCCTCTTAAGTGGAGAAACAGCTGGGCCAGTACCTAGGTAAGTGTATGTAAGTGAACCTACGTACAGAAAATGTTCTGGGGTGAGGTAGAAGTTGTGTGTAGAAGGCAAAAGAAGTCCAGTGGGACCTTTTGTGCTCTAAGGGAGGGGGGAGTTTCCTCTGGGCAACCAGATATTATTGCTTGTTTCCTTCCTCAAATTTTGCTGCACTCTTCAATACGGTAGTCACTAGTCACATGGAGCTTGTCAACATAAGAAACATTCAAACCTGTGAAGAATTTTTGTGAGTTTATTTGAGCCAAACTGTCGAAACGTGCTGGGAAGCAGACTCTCAACGGATTGAGATAAAGCTCCCGAAAATGACAGTTTTGCACCTTGTTTTATACATGACAATAAAAAGAGGAGACGTAAGTGTGTTACATGAAATCCATTGGTGACAAATGAGGGAGGCGGGAGAAAGCAAAGCCAGGAGTCCTCTGGGACTGGATAAAAAGTAAAATGATAGACACGTACTTCTTTTATATAGGTGGGGGCAGGATAGTTAACAGTTACTTAACTCAGTAACAATGAAGGGATTTGTGGTCTCTGCAGAGCAGTGCCTGTGCTTTGAGGAGTCCGGAAAAAGGAAAATTACTTTGACATTCTAATGATATGTTATCGCAGATGCAAAAGACTAATAGACAGGTTCAGTTAAGGTAAAGATTGACCTTTGTCAGGGAAGATACTGGCCTAGGACATGACTACCCAGTATAAACTGCTTTAAGTTAAAAAGTTTTAATTTCAGACCATCCTTTATGGTTACTTTAGGTCTCTTGAGTTTGCAAGGCAGCCATGCAGATCTTCCCTGAGCTTGTCAGGTTAGCAGTTGGGCCCCCTTTCCTCCACAAGCTTATTAAATTTAAGTTAAAAAAAAAATCAAAATTCAGTTCTTCAGTCACAGTAGCCACAGTTCAGAGCTCAATAGCCAATTGTGACTAGTGGCTACCATATTAGCACAAATATAGAACATTTCATCATCATAGACAGTTCTATTGGACAGTGCTCGATTCGAAGTCCGAGGGTAACAGGAGGGGATGCATATGTCCTGGCTCTTCCAGGATCAAATCTCTAGCAGCCCTGGGCATGTTATCTACTCTCTCAGTCAATCCCTTCTCAGGTCGGGTACAGTAGCCAGGTTGTGTACACAAACAGCAGGGCTCGTCCCTTCGTGCTGTGCTCAGGCATGCTCCCGTTCTTGCTCCACCTCTCCAGTCCCTGGAAAACCAGCTGCAGAAAAAACTTTTCCATCAACTTTGACCTAGTTTCCTGGTCACAGATCTGAAAAATGGAGGAGCCACTAAATTCTTGAATAGGTAAGAAAAGGCGGAGGCAGGAGTGAGAGTAAAGGAGTCGCCATGGCAATAGCGAGCCAGCGATGTTGACACCTTGCCAGCAAAAAACAACAGAGCTAGTGATAATGAAAGACAGACACAAACAAAGACAGAAGTGGAAAAGAATCCTTTCAATTTCACTTTCTGTTCGGTTCACATTGATTTTATGAATTCCTAGGACTCTTGAGGTTTGGAGTTAGTATGTGGAAGTCCACAGAAAAGCCAAACCCCAAATAAAGGCCAGGACTAGTTCTGTCTACAAAGGTTTAAATGAGCCAGAAATCAGAAGTACATTAACTCCTGCCATTTCAGGCTTTCTCATCCTAGTCATGCCTTCAGGAATAGTAACAATCATTTCAGTTAGAGGTGGAATTATGTGGTGTCAGTCTATGGTTATTAGCCTGCAAGGAAGGAATAGGAACTGCTGAAGCACACGTATCCTAAGGGATGAGGCTGCGGTTGAATACTCAGCAAACATTTACTGAATTGCGATGATATGCTTGGATAGGTACTGTGGTACAAGCTGCAGAGATACAAAATGGGAGCAGCCTTCCAAGAATTTAAGCCCTCCCCGGGTGGGGAGTCAGGTGGTTAGAGCACTGACCCAATGTTGCGGGTTAGATCCCAGGTCAGGGCACATTCAAGAATCAACCAGTGAGCCCTGGCCGGTGTGGCTCAGTTGGTTGGGCATCATTTCATGCACCAAAAGGTGGCTGGTTTGATTCCCATCAGGGCACATGTCTGGATTTCGGGCTGGATCCCTGGTAGGGGGCGCACAGGAGGCAGCTGATCAATGCTTCTCTCTCACATCGATGTTTCTAAAATCAATTAAAAAAAAGACATTTATAAAAAACCACACCATTCTCTTAAAAAAAAAATCAGCCAATGAGTGCATAGATAAGTGGAACAACAAATTGATGTTTCTCTCTCCCTTACCCTCTCTAAAAATCAATTTAAAAAATAATACTCGTAACTTTAAATCTTTAAGGCCTGAATTACTGTCTTATTGTCTTAAACCGGGTTTACACGGGGGAGAAACCATGATGAGGCCAAATGATAAAATACAGAACAGTAAGCCTCTTCTATGGAAATCCCCTCACAAACCTCATTTCCTTTTCAAGAGCTCATAAAAACAAAAACTCATGCACTCCAAAACTGAAGGAATTTAGTAATGATTAGCTCTAAATGTAGAAAACAAATGTGTATTTGTACCATTTGTTCTATATTTGTGCTAATATGGTAGCCACTAGCCACACATGGCTATTGAGCTCTGAAATATGGCTACTGTGACTGAAGAACAGAATTTTTAACTTAATTTAAATCATTTAGTAATAATTAGCTCTAAGTGTATAAATGTATTAGCTTACAAATGTGTAAGACCTTTGATGGGACCTAGTTATTACTGCGTTACGCCAGATTAAAGTACGTTCTACCCAAAGACCACCTTAGAGCTTCTGTCCTTTAATTCACATAAGAAACTCTCCATAGTCCAGACCACCAGATCCCAGCTTGTTCCTTACTGAACTGGAAAAAGACTAAATATAGCTCAAATATCTTTCCTCTTCTCCTCTCCAAACCCCCACTCTATATTCATTAGGGTCAATGGGTAATACTCCTTACAGGGTTTTCAAGAATGGATCGTGAAGTAGGGGAAACACTCCTTTAGGCACACTTAAACACTGTTTTAAATTTATTTTTCTATTTATTTATTTGAGACATTGATTTGTTGTTCCACTCATTAATGCATTAATTGGTTGAAGCCTGTACATGCCCTCACTGGGGATTGAACCCACAACCATGGTGCATCAGGACCCGGCCAGGTCAAGGCAAACTTTCTAATAATGTCTTCAATACCAGCTCACAGACAAGAAAAGTTTTTGCCATTAAAAAACCTTTATTTTTTATTTTTATTTTTTACAAAGAATACCCCCCACTTGGGGTGAAAATATATCTGGTTAAGTACAAAATATAGTTTTTTTAAAATCATACAAAAAGATACACAATTTAAAAAAAAAATGAAACCACTTTTAGTCCACATACTTTCTCAGAAAAGGGTGGAGCTCAGTGTTCTGACACAGGACAGGGTACAAAGCGCTAAAGGCTGCAGTGAGAGGGGCTGTTAACATCCCCCACATCCTAACACTGGGCAGGAAGGGGAGCCCTGGGGTCTTTTGTGAAGACCTGCCATCTAGTTTCTCATGGCTATGTCTGGAGGCTCTGATCAGTGCTAGGGCATCCTGATCTCGTTTCTCCTTGGGTTTAGAGAAGTCACAGTGGGCAAAGGCTGATAGCAGCAACCCTTCTAATACAATTAGTGTCAGAATTACAGAATTCTGTACACTGGGACAAAGTCTCAAAAGTAATGAGCAACACTTTTTATTTTGTCCTTGTGCTTACCCCTAGAGACATAGTAGACCAGTTTTAGCTTACATTTTGAGCTAGAAAAAAATAACAGGAACTAAAGTGCTAAAAAACATCACCTCAGAATGAATTCCAAGGAGTCACATGAAAAGAAAAACACTTTCTCCCACATGAAGATGTTTGCAACAGAACACAGTGCAATAGGCTCTAAAAATGCCTTATAAGACCGCTTTATGCCAGGTTAAAGTACATTCTAAGCAAAGACAATCTTCTTCCCTTTAATTCACATAAGAAGCTCTCCAAAGTCCAGACCAAATCAGCTCTGGAGACTTCTTTTTCTATAAATTTACAAAGGGCAAAGATGATTTTAAGAACCCCCTTTTCCCAAAGTTACGGACATGCTTTTTTTCCTTTTCATTTTCCCAGTTTGCTAAATTGGCTCTGTTCCACACGGTACAGAAGTTCAAGATCTGACATCATTATAACAATCAATATTCCACTCCACAGAATCTTGGGATGACCACGCCAGGAGGCCATTTCTACCCCTTATTCAAAACTACTGAATATGCCTCAATTTTCAAGATCTCAGAAAATGGGATGGGCGTAAGTTTTTCTAGTGTGTTTTTAAACCCATCTAGCAAACACCCCATTATCACAACATCTTGGCTGGCGGAGGATGAGTGTGCACCCTTTAAGGCCCAGGAGACTGCCCGCTGGTCACCTCCTACACTGGGGAGTCAGAGGCTGGGGTGGACCCAAACCCCACTGTCGAGACTGTTGAGTCTGCAAGAGAGTCCAGGAAGAGGTGGGAAGAAACAAGTAGATACAGCTGCTTCTTTCCTTCCACATGCTCACTGCACATTGTTGTTGAGGATGCAGGGATCCACCTGGGAAGAAAAAAGAAAACACCATTTTAGTTTGGGTAAGAACTAAAAGAAAACTCCACTTTAGGAATTCCTCCAACTCAATTTCCTATAGAAGGCTTGGAACAAATATAGCGGTGAAGTGACAATTCTTACCTCAGTGTAAGTAGGTGGTGGCATGAACTTGAACTCAGGAGCATACATAAAAATAGGGCTGTCTTGAGAGCCATCTGTGTCATCTAGCAGAGGAGTGGTGGGGCTCTCCAATCGGTGATCTTCAGGAATGATATCCATATAGCAAGGAGGAGCTAGACAGAGAAAGAACAGGGATGAGAACCCGGCCAAGAAATTGCCCGACATTCACAATTTCACAAACCCGAGCAGGCCAGAGGATAAGACGAGACATTAGGTCTGGCTCACCTTCTGGGGTATCAGGGATGTTCAGATCTACCCAACTCATCTCGGAGCTAGCCATGCTGGACGTCCGGCTGTTCAGACCTGACTTGCTGCCAATGACCAGGGGCAGGTCAAGAATGACTTTCTTGGAACCAGGGACGCTAACATAGATCTACAAAGGAAGTTAGCAGTTTGTTAGACTAGAGGCCTGGAGAAAATCCCACTGCTGTTCTGACAGATGAACAATTTCTCTCTCCAGCCCCACCCACTCACCAGAAGGAAATATTCAACTCGAAGGATGTTGCAGCCCAGGATAGAAGGCCTTATCTTCTGCACCCGAAGGCTCTTGCCACGCCATGATGCACAGGTTCCTGAGATAATATGATTGCCTCTAACAGATGACAACTTCTGCGTCAGCACCTTGGTTTGGCCATTGGCAAGGTAAGTGTGGCGGGCTACGATGGCAGCTTTGGGAACCACAATTCGGGAACATGTATTCTCAAAGTCAGCATGGATGGAAATCTCATCGCCTAGCAATAAGATGAAAATGATGCTAAGTACAGTTAATGACTTTTTTCTGTCCCTGCCCTGCCCTCACCCCCAAATCCAGTTTCTATTTTGTCAGTCTGCCGTTTTTTAAGGACTAGGCTTTTACCTTCACAAAATCCTTTTCTGTCAATTCGGGCCGAGACGGAGACCTGCCCATCAGGAATGAACATGCAGGAAACTTTCTTCTCCTTTTTAGCAGACACTGGTGCCTATGGAGGAGGAGGAGGGTGGGTTATTGACTTTAGAGAGGAAGAGAAAAACCTCAATTGATTGGTTGCCTCCCCTGTACACTCCCTGACCGGGGATTGAACCTGCAACCTGGGTACATGGCCTGCCTGGGAATAGAACCCGAGACACTTTGGTGCACAGGGTGACACTGCAACCGAGCCACACTGGCCAGGGCTCTCCGCTTCTCTTCACTTTCCACTCCTTATCTAGAGTAGGCAGCTTTCCCTCCCACCTTGGTAACTTAGGACTTGATTCCTGAAGTGCTTCAATCTCATGCCCAAGGCATGTGACTTATCATCCCTGAGACCCAAGAGAAGGGAATCTTAAAATGAACCTCACCATTAAATCAGGGGTATTGATATCCACTAGGTCCATCACTTCAAAGTTTTTCTTTGTCTCTTGCGTTGGCTGGCTGGGGCGATCAAGAAAAGCCTTTACCCAGTAGTCTACACACCCGTATTTTCCTTTGAAGGATGTTCCCAGAGGCCTGTGTCAAGAAAAAGGAAACATTTAAAAATACTCTCCAAGATCAAATAAGCAGAAGATTTTTTTAGAGACAGAAAAGTCCAAAGATGCATTTAACTGATACCTACCCCTGAGGAAGCTCAAAGCCGAACTTGTACTCATATTTGTTTCCAGGTCTCATGATAACCATCTCATTCTCACCTGCAGGGAGAGAAATTCGAGTAGACATTAGGTTTATTGTTACACTTAAAATGCATCTGTGAGATAAGAGAATTCTTGGGCAGCATGCAAGATCTACTGTAGTGCCCCCATTTTCAGCCCTTATGTTCTTTTTTTTAAGTCTTTACTATTATAAGTATTACAGATGTTCCCCTTCCCCCCACAATGACCCCCTTCACCCAGGTCCCACCTTTCCCTTATGTTCTTGAGAAATTCTATGCATTTTGGGGGGGCAAAAACTTGCAAAGCCTTGCAAAGTTTAACATTAGGCTGCTATCATCTCAAAGCAAAAACAAGCAGAGTAACTTATGCCTGCAAAAAGTTTTTTTAAATAGCTAAGGCAAAATCCCACAGGGATCACCTTCAGAACAGGGCACCATAAGACACTGGACAAAATCGACTTTTGCGGGGGTGAGGGGTGTTGCAAATTATAAAAAGCATAGGGATGCAGCACCAAATTCAAACCGCTCAACCACAGCAAGTTAGAATATTTAGGATAGGCTCCATTTATTCGTGTTGATACTGTTCTCAAATCAGCTCTCACTGCCCCGTAAAGAACTGGGCCCTCACCTGTGGGCTGGTCCTCCAGGAGAAGCGTGTCCTCGTAGCGCAGGTACTCCAGGGTCTGCTTGCACTGCTGCGACCCCTGCATCCACAGCACCTTGGCCACGCCGCACGCCAGGACCCGCACGGCCTTGACGCGGGTGACCTCGCACACCTCCACCACCACCCGGCCGGCCACCTTCTCCCCGCTGCCGTACACCTTTTCAGGGTCGTTAAAGACCACCTCAAAAGACTTGACTTTCTTGAACATCACCATGATTAGGCTGGGTTGGCTGAAGAGTTAGAAGTCGGGGCGGGAGGGTGAACAGAACGCTAAATCCACGGACACTCTGGAATTGAAGATTATTTCCCTCTTCAACTCTGGACAGTTGAAAAGATGTCAAAACAATGTAAGCTCTAGGGGATGCCAAGGAATTTCAAGAGAAAAACAAGCTCTCCGTTTTCCTCCAACAGCTGGAGGGTCTCTGCAGGGCTGTGCGTTGGCGCCCGGGAAGGAGCGGAGAGTGCCGGCCGGGAGCCGGAAACTACTTTATATAGCAGCGGGGGCAGGCTCGGCGGGGCGGGCGCGCGCCCCGAGGCCGCGTGCTGCCCTCGTGCACAGCCCTCCCATTGGCTGCCCGGCCCTTGTTTACCAGGCGCCTGGCCAATCAGCGAGGCCGCGGCGGAGCGTGGACACGGTGTGCTCGTGGCGGGGAAAATGGTTGCGGTGCGCCG